GCAGAGTCCACTGGAGAAGCCAGATCATTGAGCCACATAGTGTCGCAAGTGCTTCGAGGTCACTGGACGCAGCAGGAGCCCAAGAGCAGGGGCGTGTCACCTGGAGAAGACGCTGGGGACACAGAGCACGTCACAGCCCCTCTGCAGAAGGTGCGTGACTCCATAAAACTAGATGGAACTCCTCAGCATAAACTTCATTGCACAGACTTACTGTAGCTCATTTTGTCACCGATTCTGAATCTATGGACTGAATCTAATGCTTCCAAAAACTCTGTTTGCAAATATCAAACCTTGTTATGCAAAAAATTATGAAATGAAGATTTATACATTTGCGGTTTAAGCTGTACTGAATCTGTGGAATGCATTGTGAACTGTAAAAGCAAGGTATCAATAAAGCTTATAGACAAAAAAAAAAGAAGAAGATACTAGATGGCAGCGGTTCGTAAACTCAGCTCACCATCAAGATCACCAAGAGAAGTCTGCTTAATAAAAATGATCCCTGGATCTTAGATGCAGCAGGTCAAAGGCAGCAGAAGGGCATCAGTCATCTCCCCCGGGACCTGCCAGGTTTAACACCCACTGGTCTCAGGGGTCAATGCTGGGATACCCCGAGGGGCCAGTTACATGAAACAAGTAGAAAGCAAAAGAGAAATGGGCCCCCGCGAGTTTAGGATTTGCTTTGGACAGAGATGCTCGGGTGACTTCTCCCCGAGAGGCTGAGGGAGCCGGCTAATGCCATTGCCACCAGGAAGCTGCTCTCTTCATCCACATAAATGTGGAGAACAAGCAGAAAAATCGTATTTCAGTTAACACTGAAGACCTCCATGCTGTTAGATGGACCCGCGCCAGTGGGAAGACCACAGAGGTGGCCGGCTGATACTCCAGGCAGAGACGACACGCCACGTGCAGAAAGGAACCCACAAAATGGGGCGCCTGGGTGGCTCACTTGCTGAAGCGTCCGACTTCGGCTTGGGTCACGATTTCACAGTTTGTGAGCTCGAGCACCACATCGGGCTCTGGGCTGTCAGCAGAGCCTGCTTCTGATCCTCTCTGTCCCCCTCCCCCCCGTCCCTCCCCCACTTGCTCTACCTCTCTTTCAAAAATAAGCATTAAAGGGGCACCTGGGTGGCTTAGTCGGTTAAGCGTCCGACTTTCGCTTAGGTCATGATCTCGCGGTTCGTGGGTTCGAGCCCCGAGTCGGGCTCAGTGCTGACTGCCAGCTCAGAGCCTGGAGCCTGTTTCAGTCTGTGACTCCCTCTCTCTCTGACCCTCCCCTGCTCACGCTGTCTCTCTCTCTCTCTCCTAGAAATAAATAAAACATTTAAAAAAAAAGTAAGCATTAAAAAAAATAATTAAAACAAAAAGGAAGCCACAGAAAGATCGATGCAGGGAGAACCAAGGCAGGACTTCCCCACTGGGTCAGTTTCCTAGGGTTTCAAACTGGGCAGTTTATGGGCTCACAATTCTGGATGCTGGAAGTCCCAAATCAAGGTGTCAGCAGCGTCATGCTCCTTCTGAAGTCTTTAGGGGAGGTTTTTTTGGTTTTTTGTTGTTATTGTTGTTGTTGTTTGTTCATTTTTTGCCTCTTCTGGCTGCTGCTGGTGGCGATCCTTCGTACTTTGGCTCAGAGCTACATCTCTCTGGTCTCCGCCTCCGTCATCACCCGCGCTTCCCTTTCTGCGTCTGTGTTCGCCTCTTCTCTTCTTAGGGAAGACACGAGCCACGTTGGACGAAGGGCCACTCCACTCCAGTAGGACCTCATCTTTCTTCTTTTCTCTTCTCTTAGGACCTCATCTTAATTTAATTACCAACAATGGATCTATTTCCAAATAAGGTCACATTCTGAAGTACGGGGGTTGGGACTCGGACATGCTTTTTGGAAGCAGTCTCAACCCAGAACACCCACGAAGTCCCCAAAGCCTTCCAGTCTCAGCAAGTGCCAGATGCCAGGATGCCGTCCATTCATCCAACCCCGACACTCACCTACCGGGGCCTCTCCTCAAGCCTTCAGACAATGTCGAGATACAAGGAATGCTCCAGGAGTCCTGAGAAACCAACGCTGAGATCTGACCTTGGACACGCCCTTCACCACGTTGTCCCTTTGAACAGGTCCCTGGAATGAGGCCTTTCGACTCTACTCAGTTTCCACGATTTCCTTCCACCCATCTCCCCCATCAAGATGTTATCCCAAAGGAGCAGGGACATTAGTATCTAGGACGGTGCCAAAAATAACCAAGCGTCCCATGAAACTATGGACTCCAGTGCAACGCTCATTTTTAAGAATCCTGAGGTCAAGTTTGTTCCTCAGAAGGTCTCTGTTCCACGCTACTAGCAGACAAGGACAGTCGAGACTGTGATACACCTGGAGTCAGCAGACCATGGGCACGATGCCAGCCTGGGTCAGCAGAACCAGGAGGCGGATCAGATCGTGATGGCTCAGAGCGTCACCAAGCCACCCTACGTGGTGGCCTGTGGGCTTCAGAGAAACAAAAATGAAGACTGTTGGGTGGGAAGAGAGATCCAGGGTAACCGGGATCCTTGAAAAGAAAGCCAACAGTTATCACATCATCGAGGAACAGCGGCAACCTCTGGGAAAAGCACACCTGGGCATTGCGGCACCGAAATTTCAAAAGCAAACCTTATCTCCCGACTGAGGAGAAAACCTGCACCGCCCACTGAGCTCAGGTGGCTAGTGAAGACGTTAGCTAAAAACCAGGGCCATGCCAGGGACGAGGGAGCTCCCTCACCCGGAACCCGCACTTCAAGGACCCCTAGACTGTTCTTCTCCCCCCCCACCCCACCCCCCGTGACCGATGGTGGTGGGCGTTTCCAGATTCTCCACCTGCTTGTCAAGAAGACAAATTCAACTGCCGCCTCGCCACCCCACCCTGTGCCCCCAGACAAAGGGGGAGGCTGGAGAAATGCTTGCCATCCTCAAAAATAACCGAACCTCCGTGGGAATTCACAAAGGCTGCTTAATGGACGCTCCCCCAGGGCGGCGCGGCCTCAGGATCCCCACTGCTGACAAGTCTTCAGGAGTCTCTCACCCACCCGTGACCTAGCTTGTTTACCGTTTTAACATCAAAATGCAGGACCCGAAGCTCTCTGACTCTACCCTGACGCTAGACCCACCCCCCGACACACACAGAAAATGGTGGCCACTGTGATGGCCGCGTTTCAAATGAGAAACGAATCATCCCTTTCCAAACCCGCAACTTAAATTGTGCACACACGGGAGGTAAGACAACCACGGAGCACTACTGAAGACACCGCTCTCTGACCTTCCACAGAACTTGGAAATGAGCTTGTGGGCAGGACAGGAGGGCAGCGGGGTGCCAGACACCTGGGCGGGCAAGTCTCCAGTCAACAGACGCATGGTCCTGGCTGAGAAGTCTGTCGTACGTGGAACGCTCGGACAGAGTGTACCTTCAGACGATGGGTTTTCCTTCGGGGCAGCTGGGGGAGGGAGAGAAAAGCATCTGCATGTCTCCTCCCAGAGGACAGACTTTGCAGCATCTCAGTTTGCCAGCCAGTGTGCGACGACCACAGGGAGAAGGGAACGAGAGAGAAATGCGATCCTCACAGGCACGGGGCTTGAAGCGAAACCACCCCAGCCCCGTAAGGAGCCAACGGTCTACCACTGGATCTGAAGTCCAAGGTCAGGGCACCCTTATCAGGTGTCCTGGACCCAGGGGACCCAGTGGCCGTCCGTGGACTCCAGTGGAAACCAGGATAAAAGACGATTGAGCAGTGAGCCAGGCACAAGCCCTGCTTATGACTCATTTCAATCCTGGGTTGACTTTGGGGCGTTTCCAGAGCATTGTCTGCATTGCGATTGGGCACGGGTCCTAAAAGCCAGACTCTAGTCCAAAAGCAGGTTAAGACGTTGATAAGAAAATAGTCCCTTCCCCTTCAGCCCTTTGCCCCCGTAACTTCCTTTTTAACACCCAAGATCTCACGTCTTGATTGAGGAAAATAACTGCCAACCTAAGACCTCTTTCTACTCCTCTAAAGCAAAGCGATTGTGAACTTGACATATCAACCAGATAAATCCAACTTAATGGGAACATTCGGCGGCCAAGGATAAGCTGCCAAGAGCAAAGTATTAGGTTGGCAGAGCTTAAATGACTTAACATCCAATGCCAACACTAAGTCGGGAATTGCTGAGCATTTGGTAGAGAGTTATAAATCAAGGATTATGAAGCAGGAGTTGAAGAAACAGCCTAATCCAACAGGGAAAATCCTTTCACTCCCAACTTCCCTTTGAAGCCTCTTGTGCCAAACTATAAACATATCACTTCCTGGAGGATAGGCCAGGCCACTTCAACTTGAAATCAAGGACCGGCGGAGTACACTCAAGATCCTCACAAACATCCAGCAAGGACATGAGTGTGGCCAGCCCCTTCTGCTCCCCAAGTAGGGTGCGGAGACCCAACCTCTGACTTACCCGACAAAACGACTAGGGGGCTTTGGATAGATGCACGCGGGTCCTATTGCCAAAGATGGAGAGAATTCCAACGAAGCGAAAACACAGAAAGCCTACAATTTCCATTGCTGGAGTCTGATGGAATGCAAAGATCCTCCCAGACGAGGATCCCCGCAAAGATGACCTGCCATCGTTTCGCTCCCATCTCCAAATCTGGGGGGTGGCAACTTGACCGTAGTGTTTCTCAACAGGGTATAGCCTTGTGCAAGGGCTGTTGTTCCAGAACTGTTGACTCTCGCTCGCCCCGGCCGCCCTGGCGGCAGGATGGTACTACCCAAAGCTGTGGGCGGTTCAGGAGCCGAAGACCTAGTGCTGCAGCTGAGCGGTCTCACAAGGGACAGAAAACGACACTTCAGCCTTCCCTCGGCACACAACTCCCCTGCTCCGTCCCGAGAACTAAGCCACGAGCCGTGGCCAAACCATAAATTAGCTCTGCCACTATTCCACTCATCCGAGAGACTTAAAAACATAAACAAAAACCAAAACCAAGTTGTAACCCGACTTTCATGGCTTCTATCGAGAATACTTTTTTATTATTATACAGGTATAATATACACAATAATTATTTGGGGTGCGTTTACAGACGTGGAGTTCAATTTCAAACCCCTATTTCACCCACACACACACGGTACCGCACACCCATCTTCCGGTTCAGCTCGACGGGAACAGAGACCCAAAGGTATTGCTTTGTGAACAGAGTTTCAATTAAATAGAATCTCCCGCATCAAGAACAAGAGCCCAGGATCCTCTAAATTCTTAATACCCTGTGTACGCGTGAATAAACCCTAAATTAGTGTTTTAGATTACCCCATCACCTTTCAGAGTTAATATTAAAATCGAACCCCTTTTGTAAAATTCTTAAGAAGTGCACCCGTATTTACAGACCCCATTAAATTATGCATAAATAACATCTGTACAGTCAACGCACGGTTTTCTCAAAATACAGAGCCTCCTATGGGACACGGGGGTGGCGGGCAGCCAAAACAAAAACAAAAAGAAAAAAAACAAACAAAACAAAAAAAAACCGCTTCATGCCTACCCTTTTCAAGTTTACTCGAAACACCAAGATGTGAAATAAATATGCAAATAAAGCTTCAGTACCTTAAAGGAACATGTCATTTCGGAGTCTCCCAATTGAAGGGTTAACTCTCAGACTTTAAAAAAAAGAAAAAAGGCAGAAAAAGAAAACAATCATCAGCAGGCTTCATTCCTACAAGTTTCGTAAAACCCAAAGAGCCCCTTTCAACAAGGGGTTTATGTGTGTCAAATGCCACCTATTGAGCTAGTTGCTGAACAGAGAGACTCTTTGCTCCCTACTGGACACGGGATTTGACATCTGAAGAAGCTAGATAAATACTTTTTCTAGATAAATATTTAGTGGACGCCAGAAGCCAACCGTTAGCGCAACACTGCAAGTTACCGTTGATCTGAAGGGCATCAACAAGACATTTCTACAGCTACGTGTGTGGGTTTTCTTGTGAGCCCGGGGAATGGATTGAAAAGTTTCTAAAACTTGTAGCACCACTTTCAGAGAAAACAATGGGGTTCAAAAGAATAAAATAAGCTCAACGAATAAAAGAATCAGTACTTGTCACCTTCCAATAACTTGTCCAGAGTTAAGGAGACACACTTCGGGACTAGTGAAATAATACTAAGGAATCCAGGAGGGCAACGTAAAGATCCAGAAATCAGTGGAGGCCTTTTTAATGGGAAGGTGGGTAACACACTGTCTGTCCCCAGGCAAGAGGGGTTTCCCAGTCTGTCCGGGGTCGAGAACGCCTCTGGAGTCCTTTTCTTCCTTCCAGACTCTTCAGCCCCGTGGCTCACTCCCCGTTTTTATTTCCTGTGCTTCTCCATTTTCTCCAGGGTTTTGCTAGAATCGGCCGGACTCTGATCTCCAGGGTTCAGATAGGATTTGTCTATGACTATCAGGGCTTCTTTTATGTAGTTCTGCACAGCAGACACGGCAGCACAGATCGCCTGGCTGCCAAACCCGTGGGTGATCAGGCTGAAATGAGACAAGCAGTTCTGTATGTTCGACTCCAGGACCGGGGTGGGCCGGTTGTTCCCGTTGGGCGTTCGGTCTTGATTGAGAAGGTCTGTGAATTCTTTACACACTTGCCTGTGAAGACAGTCAACACACACCTGTGAGCTCAATCTAGCTCCTGACAGGTAGAGAGCGGACAGCGCCAAATCATCCTGAGGATGACCCCCCCCCTCCCCAGGGAGGTGATCAGAACTTCACCCGCAACACAAAGAAACAGACTTGGTACTAACAGTACCAATTGTACTTAGCGCCAATTTCTCGATAGGCCCTGAGCTAAACTCTATCACGCACTATCTTCTTTAATCCTCACTGCAATTAGGAAAGATAACAGGATTAACCCTGTCAAACGGTCAAGGTCACCAGGACTAGTGAAAGAGGTGGAGTCCGGATGTCCGGCCCAGAGGGAGCGGAATAGCGTTTATTTCGTGCAGCTGGGTACCAAGAAACCAATTTCTTCAAGAACTCGGGAGAATCACCCACTTCCCCGAAACTCACTCTTTACATACACTGGTTCACTATGCTCTCTTTCGCCCCATTTCCTGACTGCACTCCTTCTGCCTTCATTTACTGTCATTTTATTTTATTTTTTTTTAATGTGTTTTTTTTTTTTTTTTTAAATTTCTAGAGAGACAGCATGAGCAGGGGAGGGTCAGAGAGAGAGGGAGACACAGACTCTGAAACAGGCTCCAGGCTCTGAGCTGGCAGTCAGCACTGAGCCCGACACGGGGCTCGAACCCACGAACCGCGAGATCATGACCTAAGCGAAAGTTGGACGCTTAACCGACTAAGCCACCCAGGCGCCCCATTTACTGTCATTTTAAAATCCATTCACGGTCGGCTTCTAGCAGAAATCCTGCAGCTGCGTGTAGTAGGACTGGACCCAGTTTGTCCACATTGTCTCCTCCAAATCCAACAGGATCGTGACATTTAAAACACAGAAGGGGCGCCTGGGTGGCTCCTCAGTAGGGTGTCCGACTTGGGCTCAGGTCATGATCTCGCTCCGTGAGTTCGAGCCCCGTGTCAGGCTCTGTGCTGACAGCTCAGCCTAGAGCCTGCTTCCGATTCTGTGTCTCCCTCTCTCTCTCTGCCCCTCCCCTGCTCATGCTCTGTCTGTCTCTCTCTCAAAAATAAGTAAACATTAAAAAAAATTTTTTTTAACATCAAAAGTCTTATCAGAAGGCACCCAACCTTTACTGGCTGGGACAAAACAAATTGTTTCCAACACATTTTTGGAAGATACGGAGACACCAGAAGGAAAGGGTAGTTTAACTACTTTGAGCTGAGTAATTGAAGAGCTCCAAAAACACTTATTACTAAGCAGGACATTCATTTCGCTTCTTCCAAATCCTACCAAAGAGTTAACCTCTCTGCCTTGTCCAAGAAAATTCTCTTGCCAGTTCCTCTTGCTCCACACCCTTCCTTATTAAGCGAGGGTTTCTTTCCTAAGCCCCAGGGACTACACTGCCCACGCCCCCCCGCACCCCTCCGCCCCCCAGCTTCAAGATCAGAGCCTCCAGCCATCAAACCCAAGTCTGGATACTCACTGTGCCGCCAGCAGCATGTTCTTCCTAGCAGCCATCTCATTCCGCCCTCCAAGGTGAGGTCTGGTTAGATATTCAGCCACTGGTTTACTAGGAAATTCGGCTTCACAGACATAGGCAAAGTCCCGAGCCAAGTGAACAGCCTCACCTAGAATGGTCAGCGATGGCAAAAGACTGAAGCGGCCTGTGGTCACCCCCAGGCAAACCTGTGCCTCTTTTTCTAACCCAGATGGCCCCCAGTCACTCTGCCTTGTTACATGAAATCACACACAAGGAGAACAATTCCACAAGCGAGTAGAACTTCCTGGGTGTTTTCACTGGGTCCCCTTCCCCAGGAGTCGAGGAGTAAATCCTACCACTTGTGGGGGAAAAAAAGACCCTGAGTTTTCTCACGATCCTCGAACAATGCTGACCAGTCTTCGACCCAACTCGGATTGAGACACACCCATGCTCCCTCTGGATTATAAAAGCTACGCTTGTAGAGACGAAGGGAGACGTTAAAAAGACAAGCATCTCTGACAAAAGCCAACCGGGCACTTCTCTTTAGGAAACTGTGACGAAGTCTTTGACACAGAACATTCTTTTTAATCTAGGGAGCCCCAAGACTGAAGGAGGCAGCTCTCTAGAATGTTCAAGAAAGAAAGGCATGTGTTTCCATCGGAAATGTTAAGAGCCCCCAACTACGAGTTTGGACCACTTGCGCCCTTTTGTCCAGGTCATTGGCCGAACAGAGGGAGAGGAACACCACGGGTGCTCATCTCTGACCAGAGAGGCCAGGTCCTGGCTCCACTGTGCATGGCTGGCAAGAGCTTTTCAGAAACCCAGATAGTGGCACCTGCCTCCCCAGACTTCCTACATCAGAATCTGAGGACCGTTGTCTTGGCACCACTTTCTTATTCAGGCACCCCCGCCCGGCTGGTCAGAAAACCTAGCGGAGCCACATTTATGCGCCGTGCACGCAGACCCGCCATTGTCTATGCAGCACAGCTGTTCCCCGACAGGCAGCTAACAGGCAGCTCCTTTCTCCTGGCCCCGACCCCCAAAGACACTCGTGAAAAGGTAGATCGGGGCTCTGCCAAGTCGCTTTCAGCACCGCCGTCGCACCATTAGACGGGGGACAGAAAGCGGTCCAAAGATTGCCCGGCTGCCGGGGAGACCACCCCTCATTGGCTCCCCCAGCCCTTAGCCGGAGCCCAGCAGCCCTGCTGATTGGGCAAGGGTGAGGGGCCGCTCCAGACTTGGGGAGAAGCCTCCCCATGTCCCACTGGATTTTCCCGTGCATCACAACAATGAGCTGGTTTTTCTTTAAAAAAAAAATTTTTTTTTCACTTTTCCCTTGCCCCCTCCCCTTATTTTTAAAGGCTGTAATTGCATTCTTGGCTCCCTTCCAGATCAGGGGGTGGGGGTGGGGGTGGGGGCTGGCCCATTCAATAAACCAAAATGTTACATCCTACTCTTTGAGGACTGGGGAGAGGGGCCCCACTAATTTTTTTTTCCATGGGGGAAATGAACAAAGGACTTGTGAATTGCGTTGGCCCCCTGTATGCAAAGGCTTTTCTCTCCACTGACCACAATCCTGATATTCCACAGCCACCAAAGCTGGAAAAGGGGCTTCTTCCACCAATACATAACCAGCTTTTCAAAGGTGGACCCGTTGATCGATTGCATCTTTCAAAAATTGGTTCACGTCTAGGAAATGTCCTGAGGTCCTACGGCGAGGAGTTCTTAGGTCAGGAAAGCCAATTTCTATTTAATAATGGTTTTCTGGAGAACCCAGAACAGGATAGCTCAGCAGGCAGGTATTTAAATGTTGAATTATTTGATAAAATTACCGTTGATTCATTGCAATGAACTGCTGACAAATCACTTTCGTCTCTCTCCACTCGTGACAAGGCTGTTTTCAAGCTTTTCTTCAGAGTAGTATTAAAGACACAAACAACCCAGCACATACTAAGGACATCACCAAACAAAAGCAAAACCCCACTGACCTTCTACTAAGGAAGTCAGGAGGGTAACGTGGGCAGCTTTCCGTCTCCCAGCGGGAAGATTCAACCCAATCTTGTCCAGCTTCTCCCGCAAGGACCGGCCTCCATTTTTAGACTTGGCTCTGAGTAAAAGAAAGTTAACTGAGGCTATTCTCAAGAAACCATACTTTAAGATTCTAAATCCTTCAAATGCTACCCAAACTGAAATCTGTCTAGGAGTATCTACATTATGTGGATCACAGTCAAGTGAAACAGGGAGTCCTCATTTAGTTAATACCTGTAAAATTCGAACATCTTTCTTAACATCACCAACACTCACCCCCCCCCCCAGAACATTGCAAAAGATACTGGAGCAGATAACTGTAGCAGCCCCCCCAAATCCCCCGGGGTAACAAAACTCATGAGGCTCCTCTCCCCCTAGGACACCACCACTTCATAACAAAATCAAATTCTAAGCAAATGATAATTTGTTGGTGCTGTTTTAGCACTTCCTTCTACATCTGGCACTTTCTAAAAGAGAAGGAATGTACTAAAACTCTGAGCCGATTAGAATTCAGCGTTAGGTATAAAAGTTACATAAATGTTAAAAATACCTCCCTTGGTTCTTTGAGGTTGTTCACCTTCACCGCCCAACCCACCGTGCCCAGAATGTGCCCCCACTTACCTTCTGAGAACACCTCCCAGTAACGAGGCATTTAAGCATTCAGGCGGGGACAATCGCCTCTGAACCTCAGCAACTGTCACTTTGTATTTAGACGTGGAACTGAGGAGGGACAATCTTCCAGGGACCGAGCAGAAGACCTCGCTGGGATTCATCACAGCCCCTACCAGCTCCTTCTGACAAGGGACACTCAGCGGATTCTTGGTCATTGAAATAGGACCTGTGGATGAAGATCAGAAGTGGCAGTCCCCGAGAGCTGACATGTATGAAAAAGGGACCTTTTCAAACCTCTAACCAAAGCTGAAAGAGCTCTTTAAGCAAACAGCGTTGCTGCGCGTTAGACTATATAAACTGCAAGCAGATTTTTTTTTTAAGTCCAATTCTTCAAAGATAATCGAATCTGAAATTCACAAGTTAACACCTTGCAAAGCTAATTAGTCATGACCCCGAGCATGGACGGTTTTCATTTTCTAGCCACTGTTAAAATCTGTTTAATTAGAACAGAACACTGGTTTTCAGACGACTGACTGCTTCAATCCGGAATACATGGGGATTTTTCACTTCCTCTCCCGAACAACCAAAATCACCCGGCACACAGGGATCCTTTGCTGAAACCTTTCTGTGCAACTGATCACGGTAAATTTAAAAATACAAACAAACCTGTTCTGTTACCAGTTTACTGGAAAGTTCAGTTTATTTTCCGAGTTTTTCTTCAAAAACCACTTCCCGATTGATTTGCAAGGGGTTTAACTTCAAGTACAGACCATGGAGAGCTACTCCATCTCCAAAAACAGCCAGATTGGTAATCATGTCAGTATGTAACTTAATTTCCTGAACCGCTCAAGTGATCCAATTTTCCAAATCCCCTCCCCCACCATCTTGCATAAACCCAGATTCCCGGCAAATCTTCCCACCCCGGTCCTTTGAAGGCCGTCTATCTGGTAGGCCAAACCGTTTCAAAACCTCTTGTTGCCGGTCAGAATTAGGGATCCTTACCACATGCGTCTTTGAAATGGGAAACTGACCCACATCCGCTCAACCACTTGCATGGGATCAGCCCCCAAACCAAGGTGTGTGGTGGGATTTTTTCCAAACTAAATCAATGTTAAAACTCACCCCGGAAGACTAACACTGTAAAAACACCATGAAGTTCAAGGGTTCATGTTCCCCAAGAGAACACGAGGGAGTCACAAATCCGAAGAGTTTCGCCACCATCCCTTTTCATTTAGTTCAGAAAGAGATGCCCTCTTCTCTCTCCTAAAAGCCTCCGCTCCTCCAGCCGCCCACCCCCCTCCTCTGTGGGTCGGATCCCTACCACAACTGCCCCAAGGTGGCCACCAAAATGCCCCCACCTTGCCAGATTAGATGTGGCCCAAGGAGGGAAGAAGCTTGCTCTCACTACCTACCTTTGCGAATAACAGTCTGGTCATGCAGGAGTAGATGCTGGTCGTCGACATTCTGGGGGAGAAACGACAGTTTCCCTTAAGTTACGGGGAGCCCGGGGTGGGGGGAGACAGGGGAGGCTGGGGGGCGGGCAGGTCCGGGCAGGGGCCGAGGCGCCGCTCACCTGCACCTCCTCCATCGGGTGCGCCATGTCGTGGAGCCCCAAGTTCTCGGCCAGGCCCGCGGCGTCCAGGGCGTGCGCGTGCGGCAGCAGCAGGTCGGAGCGGCGGTAGGCGTCCCTGCGCGCGCTCATGGCGCCGCCCTCCAGCCCGGAGAGATGAGGCAGCAGGCCGGCCGGGCGCCCGTGGTGCGAGGGCAGGCCGGCCCCCTCCTGGCTCTGGCGCCCCGGCCAGGCCTGCTGCTGGCTGCCGGCGGGCGCCGGCTGGTGCAGGGGATTGATGGCCGCGGCGTAGGCTTCTCCCAGATGCGAGTAGGGGTCGGCCGACTGCGAGTAAGCCAGCTGCTGGTAGGGCGGTGGAAAGTAGGGTGGGGGCTGGTATTCGGCGACTCCGGCATGCGAGAGGGGCGGCGCGGGGCTGTAGAGGTGCTGCCCGGCGGAGGAGAGGTGGGGGAGGCGCGGGTTCCCATTGCTGCTCGCGTCGTGGCGATCCTGGGGGAGAGAGAAGCAGAGACCCCGCTAGGGCGAAACCCCGCTGCTGCGAACAGGCTGGAGCGGCGGCGCTGGGCCGTGCGCCCCCGGGGACGCTTCGCGCCAGCCCAGCCCCGACCCCGGGGCCTGCCCTCCTCCTGGGGGGCTGGGGGGGGGGCGCCCGGAGGCACTGCGCGCCGGAGGATTCGTTGCAAACCGCGAGCCCACGGAGGAAAGAGAGACGTGGAAAGACCTGGGGGAACTCGCCCTCAAAGCCCAGCGCCGAAGGCCTGAGAGCTCCGACGCCCGAGGCGCCTTGCAGAGCCGGGTCCGAACCCCAGGCCTTGGGCCAGGAGTAGCCGGGACTCGGGCCGGGGGAGGAAGTCGGCATGCCGTAGGCACCGCGCGGGCTGCGCTCGCTCACTAGCCCGCACATGTCGGCGGCGCCAGACGAAAGAACGTGGGGAAGCTGCAAACGCGGATAAAGCGCACGAAGCGGGAAGTGCGCATCTTCCCCGCCCCGGGGGCCCTCCCTTCCACGCCCTCAGGACAAAGACCTCCCGGCAAGCGACGCTCCCCGGCAGGCCGGCCACCCAGCGCCGCCCGGGGAGCACGCGGAGGAACGCGCCGCAGCCGGGGCTGCCCCCCACCCAGCCCCACCGCGCCCCGCCCCAGCTAGCTGGGTCCCCGCCGAGTGGGGGACACCCGGTGAGGCCGCCTCGCCCGGCCACAGTCGGTATCCGCACAGATCGGGGCAGAGGGGGAGACTGAGGGACCCCGAATTTTGGGCGACCTTGCCTGCGCACGTCCCTCGCCTCAAGGCTGTCCGACTTAATTCTCAAAGGGCAAGTTTCCCTGGGTTCGCGGGGGTCACAGGGGTAGCGGGGAACTTGGAGACAACATGGCACTGTCGCCCCCTAGCGGAAGTGCCCGGGCGCGCCGCAGGGCCGGCCCCGTGAGGTCCCGCGGGCGCGCAGCCCCCCGCCCGCGTCGCCCCCAGCGCGGGCTCCCCTCCGCCAGCGCCGCGGCGCACACCGCCCGCCGCCCGCGTCTTCCTCTTCCCGCTCGCCGCCTGCCTCCCTCCCACTCCCCGAAACTCCAGCTCAACCTGTCCGACTGGCTGGAGCACTCCCGAGCGCTCACGGCCCCGTCCGGCCTCGGGGCCCCCCCACCGGCGCTCCCCAGCCCCCACTTCTCTTGAAAGCCACACTTCTGTTGTCTTCTCGCGTCCCCGAGGAGCTAGCGGGGCAGGGGACAAGCCCGCCGCGGAGGGGACTCCGCCGAGGTGTCGCCGGCAGGTCGCCTCGTCCGACCCCCCGGACGCAGAGGCCGCGCGCACCAGCCACGTCTGAGGCTGTAGACGGGACGCTCTTCCGAGAAAAGGGGAAGAAGGGCCGGTCGGCTTCGCACGGACCCGGCCGGTAAGCTCTGCGGGGGGGGGTCCGCCCTTCCCTTCCCGGGCCCGGCCCGGGAGCGCGGTTTAGGAAAAGGCCCGAGTCGGGAGGAGGGCCCGGGGGAAAGTGCACCCCGGCCCATCGGGGGGCAGAGGCTGGTGCCCGCTCGCCGCTCCCGCGCCCTCGCCGCGCGCTCGGCGCCAGGGCCCCCGCCTCCCGGGCTGTGCTGGGGCGGGGCGGGGCTGCGCCCCTGCACCCGGCTCACCTCGCAGTCTTCTTCATACTTGACATTATCGGTTATTTTCCACAACATGGCGTCCGGCGCCCCCCAAAACAGTCGCCAGTTAAATCCGGGCTCCCCCCACCCCCCAAGCGGTAAATCCAAAACGGGGGTCACGGTGGCTGGGCGTCTGCCGCCGCCCCCGCCACGCGAGGGCCTCGCTGTCGCGGTCACTGGACGCGCATCGGCGGCTCCGCGAGCGTAGATGCGGCCGCCGCGCGAGTCGAAGCCGCTGCCGGGGACCCGGGAAGCCGCGCCCGCACAGTGTGTCCCGGCAATAGCCGGGGGACCCGGGCGCCTTAATGAGAAGGAAATTATCATAACTCCTCCCCGGGGGCCGGCGCGGAGGCCCCGGCGCCGGGCGGGGCGGCCCCCAGCCAGTCCCAGCCTAGCTCCGCCCTGCACCCCGGCGGGGCGCCGCGCCGAGACCCGCGCCGCGGGGGGCGGGGAGGGGGGCGACCTGCCGCAGCTCTGTGACAGCCGACGCCCGGCCGGGCCGGGGTCCCCCGCCGCGCCCTCCGTCGGTCATCCGCACCAAGCACACGCCTGAGGTGGGGGCCCGGGACCCAAACACCCAGGAGCCCCTCAATTTCTCCTTGTAAGCGCCTTCCCCCATCCTCCAAAAGACGTCGTCACCTGCAGTTAAGAGACCTCGCGTTCCAGGTATCTCAACAGCGGGGGGGCCCCCCGGAGCGCCCAAAGTGTCCCCCTCCCCCCACTCATGGAGACCAGGTTTGGGCTGCGATCGGAGCCCCAATCCCTCCGGGAGCCGCCTCCCCTCCCTTCCCTCCCCGCGGGCACAGCGCCGGCCCGTTCCTCCGAGGGGCTGGAGGAGGAAGGCCTTCTGGGGAGGGGGCCCCGAGCGCCACGGGGCGGGCGGGCCTCCCCCAGCCACGACGTCCGGGGACCACGGCGTCCGCTGCGGTCGCCCGGAGCTGCATCTCCGCCGCCCACTGCGGCCGGGGGGTCACCGCGCTCCCGCGCCCCGCCCCGCCCCGCCCGGCCCGGCCCGGCCCGGCCCGGCAGCCGCCTCCGACGAGCCAGGCACTCAGGAGCCTCAGCTCCCCGGGGACGGAGGTGCGGGGCCGGCCGAAGACGACCCCGCGGTGGGGGGGGGGGGGAGAAGAGGGACGGGGATCCCGCCGGAGGAGTGCGTACCCCCGTTCTGCAGACGCAGGATGAAAACGAAACTTTAATACGAACGCTGCCTCTCGCCCGACTATTTATTTGCCAACCCAAACGTGAATGCAATGCGCGATTGTTTCAAAATTGTAAAGAAACGAAATCCATTGGCCCAATTACAGTAAATGGTCTTTTTCATTTGCAAGGGGAAAGTCGTTCCTTTTCAAGGGCGAACTTTGCTGGGACGTCCCAGCTGGCTCCTGGATCGGAATTTAAACACTCCGAGAGAACCGGAGAAGGGGACTATTTCGATCTGATTCCGAATCCGATTCGGCAGTAATTCATACCTATCAGTACAGGGCCCGGGGCCTGGAGGGGACGCTACTCCCCATTTACAGAATGACTGCACACCACCTCCCAGATGGGCCTAAAATAAAATTAAGAACTGAAATAAAAACAGGCGTCCTCCGAGTGAAACGTCGTCCTTGCCTTAGAATAGGTAGAGCCAAGGTGATACTCCTGCCAAACGTAAGAACAAAACCTGGGGGGGGCGCTTTTAGGGTCTTTGCACTCAGAAGTACAAAGGGCACTGCACACACTCACTCCTCTGGACACCTTGCTTCCAAAACACCGGGATCTGGGGCTCAAAGAAAAGAACCAAAGAAGCAGCGCGCCTGGTTTGGGGGCGGGGGGGGGGGGGGAAAATGGGGCGGGGAGCCCCCGTCCAGCGCCGGAACGGGACAGCCCCGCAGCAGGACGTGCAAGGTTAGGGTCCCAGGCGCTTGCGGGCAAACACACCCAGAGGGAGGCTGTGGCACCTCCTTCGGGCGTTCCAGACCCTCGGGGCGGCGACGAGGGGCCTGTCCCCCACGCTGGGCCTTCTAGACCCGGGTTTGACCCAGAGACCACGCCTGGAGTGCAGCTTCAAGGAGCTGTCTCCTAGACGCCGGCAAGTTTACCCGCAGGCAGGTTTGGGACCCCGGCAGGGCAGGCACGGGCCAATCCCCCACCCCAGGCCCTGGCCGTCCTTCCTTCCTGCAGCAGAGCTGTGGCCGAGCCCCCCGAAGGGACAGAGATTCCTCCCAGCCCGGGGGCAGAGGCAAAAGGGAGCCGATGGGCCCTGAGGGTCTGCGCGCCGCCGTCCGGGGAGCCCCAGGGGCCTAGATGTTTCCGAACCGCCGGGCAAAAGGGCCGCTCACTCCCAGGGCAGCTCCCCGGACACCGGCGCACGGCCCCCTCTCCCGGGAACACGCGTTCAAGCTAGAGCGCAACTTCCGCGCCCTGGATGGAAGGCGGCTAGAACGAATCCTCGGTCTTACCAGCCAGGGAGACCCGGCCCAATACGCACACCCCGGGCGTCAGGGCCGGAACCCAGGCGCGCGCGCGCCCCGGTCCGCGTGATGGAGCCTCAGCCCTTCCTTGAGCTCGACTTTTCCTCTCTCTGCGGAAAGCAGGGAGCGGATGGCTCCTGCACCCAGGACAGACCTGCCTCCAAAGCCCTGGCCCCGCGCCGCATGAAGCCTGTGATCTGGAGGCAGCCCCTGCACAGCCACCGCTCGGGAAAGGGCGTCCTCTCAGGACCCCCCGAGGCTTCGCAGCCGCCTGACTGTAAACAGAACGAGAGGCTCCCGGAGGCAAGCTTCACTGCGCGCCACGCAAAATCCGGGATGGGGGCGTGGAGGGTTGCGAGCGGCTCCCCTCTGTCGCCCCCTAGGGAACCTGCGCTCACACACACACTTAAAGCCTGGACCCAAGCCCCCGTCCCGCTCGGATGGCCCAAGAAACCGGCGTCCGGAGGCGAGGAGGCGTCCGCGTAGAGGCCTCCAACTTCCCACCCCCGCAAACCCGGGAAGGCGCCAGGGCGGGTAGAGCTGGAACGGGGTTGGCCTGGGACTTCTTTCCCCGCCCCAGGAAGGGGGCGCAGCAGCGGCAGGTGGAGGCCCCCGAGCGCCCTAGCGAACGTCAGGCCGCGCGCAAGGTGTCTGTCCCGCCCCCTTGGAACCGCGTGAGCGCCGGCAGCGACCGCGGCGAAGTGGCCGGCCGGGTTAGGCAGAGCCGAAGGGCCAGGGCCTGCAGCGATCGAGGAGGGTGCCCCCTTCACGCCTCCTACGCTCTATCCCACAATCTCCTGTCGCGGCCCCGTCACCCCAAGGGACAGACACTTGGCACCAAAGACTACTCCAGCTGTCTAAGCCCACGAAGGTGCGCGCCCTGGGGCGCCACTGCATCATTTCACAGCCACTCCGAAATAACAGCAATAATATAAAAATAGCAGGTTGTTTTGATGGTGTGCGAAGCGGCAGCCGCACACACACACGGAGCTTCTGGTCTTACTTAACCCGGGTCCAACCCAACTCCATTTACCGCTCACTCCTAGGCGCGTGGCTGCAGGCCCGGCGCTTGAAGGGAGGGGCTTCGCGGCCTGAAGCTCTGCCTCGAAAAACCTGCTTTTTACAAATGGACAGAGAGACGCGGAGCCGAGTGAGCCCGGAGGGCCCAGGCTCGGGGGGAGGGCCCGGGTCCAGTCCGCGCGCTCAGTCGAGGGGCGCCCTCCAAGCGCAGGGGTCGTGGGCACAGTCTCTAACTTGACAGCCACAGCCCCATTTCTCAGCAAGCGAGGGCGAATTTCTGGTCGCCCAACTACCTCCAAGCCGCAACCATGCGCGGCGACCTCCCTCGCGGCTCTAGGGGACCTGTTAGAGACAAGCTGGGCT